CAAATCTGTTCTGATGAAGAAACAAACTCATCTACATCTTGAATTACCTGAGGGCAAGTACATTTTCAGCAAATGTTCATTTTTGGGTGGACTATTTCTTTAACTCTCTTAATGCAGTAGTTGTACAAGAAAACGCATTTACCATTTATTAACATTTATCATATCTTATGTCTTTCCAAATATAACATAAAAATGACAAACCTATGGTGAAATATGGCGGGCTGAAGTCTTGTAAAGAGAGACTGTAGACTGTGACTGGACGTGCAGGTTTAGCCTCAACCTCTTGACCTTGCTTGAGCAGGACAGACATGCGCTTGCCATCCTTCTTCAGTGCTGAATATCTATCAATGCAAATATCAGAAAGTCTATGATGTCAAGAAACATAATCTTGAGTATCAAGCAGAACAAATGGACTTACAGAGGTGGAACCTGCATAATTTCACCCGTAAACTGCTTCAGCTTCTCCTCAAAAGCCTCTTTTGTGATGTGATCTGGGGAAAAACAAGCATTTATCTTTATAGTCTAACTTCTGTGAGCTATCCATTCCCCCATCACAAGCGTAACCACAAAACCATGATTCTCACCATAACTCTTTTCTTCAACAACATTTCCTGTGACGTCAAGAGTATCAGTTGCTTTGCCTAACTCTCCAACAGCTCTGTATTTCTATGAAAAAGACCATAGAATCGAATGTTACAGTACTAAAATTTGAGAATGACAAATGTAGAAAGACACACAAACATGACGTGACCCTGAAAATACTTACCTTTGATCCTGCAAGCATTGTGGTGAGCATCTTTGTTCCTTCACCAATTCCAACGACTGCAAAACATTAGGTTTTAAGTAATATTCTTACATATTTTATATTATATATAGTATTCTTAATTCTACAGGCAAAACCATTATATTTTCATGCCTTGTTACGGAAGCCAAATCCCATAATTGACGTGTTTTCTTTCATACTTGTTTGCATTTTTGAAGATTTCAATTACAAGATTTAAAAAGCTGTTTTCTCAAAATGAGTTTTTTTT